AATATCATAATGTTAACTTGTGTGCTTGATCGTCTGCACCTTCCTTTATCATTTCTTCATTTTGTATCTTCCTTATTCTCTAATCACTTTAATTAAATTTTCACAGTTCATAGTAATACAGATCATTACCCAGTTATCTTAGGTATTAATCAAGGTGAAATTATTTCATCAATTCTTTAGTATATATATTACGATCCCTTATTATGTCACATACAAAATACTGAGCTTAGTTATAATCTATCAGCTGAATAGCGCTCACATATCGATAATACTTCAACATCTACAGTTTCAACATAAGTCTCCACACTTGCCTATATAGATGATACCTTTTAAATCAGTAAATCTAAGGATAATCTTGAATCAATCTTAACAATAGCTGATAACTTTTACCAACTTAATAGTATTCTAGTTAACTGGGATAAATCTGTATTATTTTCTTCAGTACTGATAGCATCATCCATACATTTTAGACTAGCACACAATAAAGAATGGATTAAACTAATGGACTTTAAATCATCTACTCATTATCTCGATATTTAGATCTCCCTCCTTTCAAATTACCTATTTATAAGACAACAAATAAAGAATGAAATTTATAATGCTATTTTAACAATCAAAAAGAAATTCCTTACAGATAAATAACTCAAAGTAGTCTTCAACTCAGTCCTCTTGCCAAGAATCCTGTATTGTATTCAATTAACATTTCTTGACTACAAATTCTGTAATCAGATTATGGGGTCATATTGAAAAGATTTTAGGTCAAATCTACATTTATTTAAAAGTACCCAGCAGTTATTATTCATTCATCATTATTTTATAATATTACATATTTATATTCAATGCAAATTCAAACAAAAATTTCTAACTTCATCAAATTTATCAATGACAAAGATCTATTAGATACTACATCTTTAATTCATTCTAGATTGCTTCAAACAAGAAATAGCTTATCAAATCACCTTTAGCATTTTGACTATATGATGACTCTCTCAAATTTAAAGACTGGTGATCTGCTCTGCTCTCTGCCCTAAAATCACTTAATATTATCATCTCTAATAGTAATACTAAGCTAATTGCATAAAAAGAGAACAATTTCTCTTATGTGAGATTTTCAATAAAACAGATTATCGTACCTTTGTTCCAATCTTAAGAAGCAAACAACTTATATTTTTTGATCAGATTACAACATCAAATGGTGTAGCACTCTTTACATTACCTAACCTCAAATTTTCAGCAGTTCGTCTGGCAATTCTCAAGGCTTCTGCTTAGTTTCTCAAATTACAATTATTGCTCATATCATTACTTAACACAAGAATCATTCCTTCAATTTATCATCACCCACATACTAATAATATATACTTAATTCCTTTAACACATATTAAAAGTATTACACACTTTGCTATAGGTTGGCATTTAAATTCCATTATGCTATAATCAGAAAAGTACTCAAAATCGAAAATGATATAATTCACTTACAACATTTTAATGCATCGCCAGATTATACTTTCAAAACTTTATTGTTACTATACACTAAATGCTCTTTCAATGATAATTCTTCCTTTATTCCTTCTAATATGAGAAATAAATATGAAGCTTGCTTTGTGATTCTTCCTTTACACCTATATGCTGACATCAAGGCTCCCCTCCTTCTAACTGTTAGTCATATCTATTCTTTGTTCCCTTACATACTTTATGAAATTGCTTTATATAGTTATAATTTAATTGATAATAATGTTCTTAATATCTCCCCACCTTGTCCTCTCCATCTTTCACACCTGATCAAATTTTTAATATAGAAATCCTCAGTAGTTTAGATAATCTTAAAAGTCACTTCATACAATCAACTAACCTCTCATTTTATACTGATAGTTCCCTTATCAACTTAGATACTCCTTCAATCTATATGGGTGTAATCTGATCCTTTGGCACCTTTACTTTCTTTTAATGCTACACTCATCCTTTTTCAACCTTCATCTTCTCTAGCAGAACTAGTAGCGGTACTATCTGCTATATATGTAGCCCCTACAAATGCTGCAGTTAATATTTTCATAGATTCATAAAATGTTATTTCATCTTTTGATAAAATGAATTACTTTTACACCTTCTCTCCTACCTTTAACCCCATTTTTAAAATCTCCTTTTACCCAATTTAGTTTCTTGTTATAAAGTTAATCAGAGAAAAATCCATTTCCATTGAACTTCACAAAGTCAAAGCTCACTCCAATAATTATTATAATAATGTAGTTGATGTATTAGCAAAAGCTAATGATCCTCCAATCATATCAAATAATAAATTTCTAGAACACCATTATAATCTCTATTTCAACGAGAATATTGTACTTATTTCACCTAGATTGTTCATGAAAGACCTTCTTAGATCAATCAATTTTTATAATATACAACTACTCTCACACTTTAAGAAATATAGTACAATGTATGTTGATTGAATTCGCATCTCTTTCATTCTCAATAATAATGAAAATAACTCCTATACATCCTTCAAAGCCTCTTTCATTCGCAAATTTAAAATCAAACTCATGCTTAAACTGCTTTCTACCTTAGAAATCCTCAAGATAAAACACCTAAATCTATATAACCAATTATGGAATTGTCCTAGATGTTCGTGTATTTATGAAACTTTTAATTACGTTTGGACTTATGCCAAAATTGAACACCAATTCATTGACATTATATTCTCAACCAAAAGGTTTTTTATACAATATCTTATTACATTAACCTCAGATACTCAAGATTTTATGGATCTTTTAGATTTGATCATCTGATTTCTAAATGATCAACCTGACTCTTTTAACTTTACTAACTTGATCAAAGGAATTGTGCCTCTTCTCTATTCAACAAAACACACAGCCATATTAATAACCTCCAATTAACAAACGGTCTCCTATCTTTCACTTACTATTATGCATTCTCCTAAATAAAATCTATCTGGCTTTATCATTGCAATAATATTAAATATTTTGAACACCTTAATAACATCTTACTCAATAATCGAAAATTACATTTCACCAATACTGGTTTTCCTTCATCATCACCACACTCTTTTAGTATTCCTTCATACTTTATTTTCTTCTTTAGGTTTGATATAAACTGGTTGAATTTTTAAATTAGTAGCAATCATGCCTCCTGTACTGGATGTTTGAACCTATTCTAAGTTTATTTGGGTAGGTTAGTTTAAAACAGTACAAGGTTGATTTTGATTTGGTTTTATTACTAAATAGAAAATTTTGTACTCTCTATCTTGTAATTTGTAAATTTATAAAAATTTTACTTTACTTCTAAATAAAGATTGTACAAAGCTATTGCACGTAAAAAAAAAAAAAAATATTTCTATATAATATCTTCTAATATAATACTGTTATAAAATTAAGAAATCTCAAAATGATATATCATGTGATTCTTTTTGATAAAATAAAAAAATTATAATATTAGAAAATTAGAAATAACTAATCAAACTAAGAGTTATAAAATAATAATAATTAGTAATAATATTAAGCAAAGTTAAGTTACAAGAAAAGTAACCAACTGAGATTATATGATATTAGATAAATAATTAACTAAAATAATATAACAAATAAGAATTATCTTATATAACTGATAATTAATATAACTGTACAAAATATGTTAGATCATATAAGACTTTAGTAATAAAAAAAGGGAGAAATAACTAAAAAAAAAAAAATGAGTTAATGTTACATATTTTGACCTAAAAATCATATTTAGCATATAAAAGTAAAGTTAAATTTTCTAGCAGTTTTTTTCCTTCTATTGCAAAGATTTATATATATTTTTTTATTTTATATTATATTTAAAATTTAATAAATAAACTTATTAACATAAATTTATAAATATTATTTTAAAAATATTATTTTTATAAAAAAAAACATTAATTTTTATTGTTTAATAAATTGTTTAAAATTAAACTTTTTGTAATATATTATTTACTTATAAAAGTTAAATTTATATGATATAAATCTGATAAATAACATTATTAAAATATTAAAGATGGTTTAGTTTGATAAAAATAATTTATAAATAAAAAAAAAATAATTTTATTATTAGAAAAGAATAATAAAACATCTTTAAAATCAATATTTCATTAAATTTATCTTCACAAATGATATAAGGTTAATAAAAATATTTAAATTCTTTTTGAATACTTCTTTTAGATTTCAATTACTTTATCCCTAAATCTTTTTTTAATCAATTTATTATGCATTAAATGAAACTTTTAAATTTTCAACAAATTTTAAAAATATAAATTTCCACAAAAGCAAATAAAAATACAAGATCAGATTTATTTATTTGTAATTTTGAACTTCTCATAATAAATAAGACTTTCTAATAATTACATTTTATTTTATTACATATGATTTTGGAATAAAAAAAATAACTTTAATTATTTAATTTATATATTTATATACTAAAAATGCTATTCAAATAGTATTAACTTTACAAAACAGTTTTTTTTTGCATTACAGTTAATACTCCTAATTTAAAAATAATCAATTTTTTGATTATAAAAATTATCATGTATTATATACATTTAATTTACTATTCAAATCTTTTGTAATTTTAAATAATTATCAAGAATTTCATTTAATTGTGAAGTTTGATCAATAGTTATAATTTTGAAATAACTTCTCTCGAACAAGATGTCAATATATTTAATGTTCGAATTTACTGCTTGTACCGTTCCCCTTAAAAGATGGGTCTTTGTTGAAATAAAAACATCGTAATCCGCAAATAGATCGGACGGATTAGGAACTCTGCAATTTCGCAAAAATCTACATTGTATTGAATACATTATCCTGTTTTGTGGTGCTTACTTTTGTGCATTTTTAATTTGTTGACTGAATAAAATAACTTTGTACATAAAATAATTTTGGATTCAACTGTCTAAATACTATATAATACAAAAAAAGCTAGAATAATTCCATTTGAAATTTGATCAAAAAAAAAGATATTAAAAATATTTCAATTTAATAAAATAATTCTTGAATTTCTTCAAGAGATTTACCAGCCGTTTCAGGCACCATCAAATAAATGAAGATCCATCCGAAAATCATAAATGATGCATATAACCAAAATGTCCCCGATGTAGTTATCATTTCGGTCAACGGTAAGAATGATACTGTTATTGCTAAATTCACCAACCAATTCGTTGCTTTAAAGAAAAAAAGGATGAAATTTTATGATATAGCCGTATTTTTTTAAAGGTAACGTTAAAGATATTCTCACCTGTTGCTATTCCTGTCGCTCTACCACGCACATTTAATGGAAATATTTCACTTTGTATTAACCAAGGTGCATGTCCGAGTCCCAAGGCGTATGCTAAAAATTTCAAAAAAAATCATTCCTAAGGTTTTCTAGTTTTTCTTGTTATAAAAAACAAAAAAATTACGCTTACCCATAACATAAAGAACCAAACAAATTAATGCAAACCAAGTATAAATGAGTTTCATATTTGGACATTCATCGTAAAATTCTATATCAGTAAAATTTCCATTTGCTTGTTCACTTAAACTATTTCCTCCGCTAATTTCTTCTCTTTCAAAAAGAATATTAACATCTTCAATATTAATTAAATCACTGCTAGGTTGTCGAGGTAAACAAATTCCACCATCACGTTTGGCAAATCCACATCTATCATCTAATAAACATGCACCACATCCATCTCCGTAATCCATACATTGTGGTTGTTTAACTGTAAATCCTGTTATAAAATAAAATCCTATACCTAATAATAATAAACTCACGATTGTAGCAATTACTGTGTTTAAAAGTATTTTACGTCGACCAACCCGATCAATTAGATTTAATGCGACAGCTATATTTTTGGGAAAAAAAATTGTTAAAATTGAAGCAAATACGGGAGTAAAAAAGATCAAATTAAAGTTATATTTACCTGTCATTAAGAAATTGGTAAGAGAAACCACAAGTGAGAACATAATAGCATCTCTGATATTAATAAATCCAGCCATTTTCATTATAGTTGCCTAAATATATATCACAGAAAAAAAATTTCTATTTAATGCGTCATTTTGGTTAACATTGCAACTAAAGCATTTAACAAACCTACACCATAATACATTGCGGTATCAAATCCAGTAAGCTGTTGAATGGCTTGTAATCCACATGCAATTATAAGTGGTCTTAAATTTGGGTACTGGATTAGTTTCCTATAAGATCCTGATGCATCTACTGCTATTGTCTCATAAATTATATGAATTTCTAAGATACAATCCCAGGAAATGAAAATTGAAGATTGATAAATCATTAAACGTAATTTAAAAAAGAAATATTTAAATTAAATTACCTTCATCTACAAATGCTTTTGGTGAATTTGGATAAATTTTCCGTAAAACACGTTTCGCTTCTTCAGATTTTCCTTTTCTTACAAGAAATCTTGGACTTTCTGGTATAATTGGCATAACTAAATTTATTTAAGAGAGTTAGAAATTGTTTTTTTACCACAAATGTACATAAAGTATAATTACCAAATAATTGAATTAAAGGAGGAATTCCAGACACACCAAACATCCATCTCCAACCACCTTTTTCTACAAAAGCAATCCCCACAAGATAAGCAAAAACTTGTCCTCCAGTTATAAATAATACATTTAATGTTACTAATCTTCCTCTATAATACCTTGGAGAAATTTCACTAATATAAATTGGAACTACCATTGAAGCTAATCCTACTCCTAATCCAATTATCAACCTTCCAAAAACTAATGATGAATATGTATATGCTATCGATAATATAATTGCTCCGACTAAAAATGTTAATGCCGATAATATTGTAGTTATCTTTCTTCCCATTAAATCTGATAAGTATCCTATATAATAAAAAAAATACAGAAATAAATTTTTAGATATTAGTTGTTTAAAAGACTTCCTTTTTTTTTGTTGATATACTTACCGGCTATAGCTCCACCAAACACTGCTCCTAAGGTTACAGCTATTTAAAATTTATAATAATACAAGTTAAATACATTATTTAAAGACCATTAAATGTTCTCTGTTGGTTCCATTTATTACAATAAATTACTTACCTCCAACGATTATTCCTTTTTGTAACGCAGTCATGGTAAATTCTTGTTCAAGCAATAGCATAGCACTACTTATAACTCCAGTATCGTATCTAGAAACAATTCAGTTAATTATTTTGATTACATTAAATCTTGACAAATATTTTAAAAACAAAATTGCTACCCAAATAAGAATCCACCTATAGCAATAACTACAGCAATGAAATAAACAAATGAAGTAACTTCCGCTGTAACTTCAACATCTCTTAATATTTGGTCGTCAAAATGCCCATGAGATTCAACATCTCGTGATATACGTTTTGGTGGACTTTTTGATGATTGTGGCAAATTTCTTGGTGATGTCAATTGTCCTTCTATTTCTTCGTCTTCCGTAAGTGGTTGATAAGAAATATCAGACTATATATAAATAATAATTAAATTATCAATCAAAATGTAAATTGATTTTCTGTTGATTTGATGATGGTAACTTATTTTTTATGGAAGCTCGAAAATGACCGCCTAACAATATTTCGAATTTCATAGATAAATAACAAACATACATCTGACTTCGGTTTACTCATTTTTTTAAAAAAAAATAAAGGTGATAAAAAAATATATATTGATGCTTAGATATTTAGTAGAATTTTTTTTTTTATTTAAATTTTAATTTGTAGAGGATACTTTTACTGAAAAACTTGAAGATTTCTTGTTTCTGTGTAAACATTTGATTTGAAAAAATTGGCTTTTATAATAATTCTCCAATTCTAAATTTTTCTTTGGAGAGAAAAAACTAACTATTAGATCCAATTTTCAGATTTTTTAAATTAAATTTATACGTCACACCAATGGTAATATATCAGTAATTTCAGGATTCAAATTTGCGCTTTCTCGATAAATGTATACACATAAATGAACTTTAAAGTTTTTTTTTGTTTCAATTTTTTAGTTGTGAGAGAATTTTTTTAATATTTTATAAAGGTAATAAATAATGTATTTTGTTTTAAATATTTCAAATTTATCAACAAGAATCGCTCAATCACAATAAAAAGAATTCGTATTCCATTAATCAAAAGAAAAGAAATTTTAAATCAAGCAATAAAGAACGCGTATTATTTAAGTGATTATTGTTTGATTAGAAAAAAATGTAAATATTAATGTAAATATTAATTGAGACTCGCTGCTTGTATTTTCATAATTGTGTTGCTAAGATATGTTGTGCAAAGAGCTCTCAAATTTCAATGTTATACTTTCGAAGTTTTATTATAACGAATTTTTTTAAAATTTTAAGAATTATACAGAATTTTTTTTAGTAGTAAAAGTATTTCGAAATAACTATTAAAGGAAATTATACATTATAAATAAAATAAATTGATGCTTTAAATATTCAAAATGATCATTTTCAAAAATGCCAAAAGAATAGAAAATAAATTGATAAAGAAAAGGTTTCTGAAATAAAAAGAACTAGAGCTTCTTTTACTGATGTTCAAAAAAAGCAATTTGTTTAAAAAGTTTACAAAGTCAAAACCTAAAAATAAAAAATTTGCTCAAGTAGAATATAATATATCAAAAGAAATGTTATGTGATATTTTAAAAGAAAAAGAAAAGTAGTTTAATTTCAGATTCTTATAAAACTTCACTTAGAAGACAAGTTAAAAATAAAATTTCACAAATCAAAGAGACTTTAAACTTTTGATTGAAAAAGCAATAGAAAACAACATTTTTATTAATGATGAACTATTAGTATATAAGCATATAATTTTATAATATTACTAAATGAATTAGATTTTAACGAATCAAAGAATGAAAAGTTGAATTTAAAAACATTGTTAACTTATTGATAAATAATCAAAATGTTAATTCAGTTTATTAAATCAAAATCACAATCAAAAATATAAAAAGGATAATAGTAATGAATTTAATTAATTCTTTTATTAATTCTAAATTCTAGTGATAAATTTTATTAATAAGTTACTTTTAACTTAAAGAAAATATAATATATTACTTATTTAAATTTAAAAATAGTATTAATTTTTTAATTAATATTAAATATTAATTTTAGTAATATAATAATTATTTGAAAAATATAGTTTAATATTTATTTTATCAAATTAATTAGAAAACATTTTTAGATTATTAGTTTTTTAAATAATTCAATTTTTAAAATTAAGTTTTAAAATATTTATTATAATAATTTTTTAAAAATTTCTTTTAGAATTCATATGTTTATGAATTAATTAAGTTATTTATTACTTATAAAAATTATAAATTTCTTAATAAATCATAAAATATTATAATAATTAAAGTTATCCTTCATAATAAATTTATAATATTAATATTACTAAAAATAAACGTTAA